CACGGCCGCCAGGAAGGACGCCGCCTGGGTCCCGTGCCAGGCCTCTGAGTGTGCGGCCCCTCCCAGCCGGGCCAGGAATGCGGCTGGACGGCGGGGGCGGCGCAGACACCCGGAGCTCAGGCCGGCCCCATCACCCAGGCTGTCAGGCAGGTGGCCCCAGCTCGTTGGGGCCTAAGTTTCTTCTAGAAGGAAAGCAGGATCGCCTGCCTTTCCATCAGGCCACCAAACTTGGTGGCTTTATTTCGGAATCAGCCTCTAAGCTGCCTTATCCCTTGCCTGCCCAAAGAGAGATTTGAGGCCCGGAGTGGATTTTATTTTTTAAAACTTGCTGGAGTCTCCCTTTTTTCACCATTTTCCTGGAGAGCTAGCTCTCAGTGCTCCTTGGAGAGACTCCATCTAGCCTTCAGCTTTGTGCTTTTATTTCCGGCTCATTCTGAATTCAAGCTCCGTTTTGCCTCCACACCCAGCTCCCAAGACACAGGTACACCCCAGGGAAGGACTAGATTTCGTTTTTAAAAAGTGGCCTGTGGCTTCTCCTCCACCACCACCACCACCACTATGTATACATACAGGCACATCAGGGAAACCTGGTTGAGTGTATGCCGGGGGTTTTCTAGAGGACCAGTTACCAGACCTAATTGGACTGCTTCTCAGACCAAAAAGCAGTAAAGTTTCAAACCTATCTCAAGTGATGACCTCTTGCAGCCTCAACTTTCTCAACAATAAAATGGGATAATAATAATGTCCACCTTCTTAAGAGGATTAAATGAATTAACACACATCAAATGCTTAGAGCCACGCTGGATGCACAGTACCCGGTGGATAAATGTTAGAGGTTATTATATCACCTCACCTTAGCCCAGAAACAAAGCAATACACAGACTTGAGACGTCCCAAGACTGGCTTTAATTTCAAAAACCTGGTTGGGGTCTCTCCCTACATAAGGAAAAGTGTATACCAGGCTATGACCCCCAGGGATTCAGCACTGGGCCTGGTCCAATCCCATTCCAGCCACCAGGCCCTGTCATTTCATCATGAGGGCCAATCCCAGACTGCCCCCATCAGCCAGAGACAAGAGGACGGAGGTGAAATTGCCCAGGACTGGATTCTTTCTCTCCAAAGCCCCTCTCTAGGGAAGCTAGCTATGTCTTTCCAAGGAGAGTTGCTCCAGCCATCAGGCTCAGTTTGGACAGAAGATCAACATCCCAGCCCTGGGGGTCAGCGCCCCGGCCCTGGTGGCCGCTCCAGTGCCTGTGTGCCCACCAGCACGTCCATGAGGTAGTCCAGCTCGGCCTCATCCAGCTCTGGAGCTTCCTCCTTGCCTGGCCCATCCTCAGGGCTGGGTTTGTGGCCCTCAGAGACTGGTGCCCAAAATTCACTGTCATACATGGAGGTGTCAATGTCCTCGAATAGGCCCTCGAGCCCATCGTCCAGCAGACAGCCAGTGGCTGGGCCCAGCAGGTCCAAGGCACCCAGGCTGGGTGGGGCTGCCCCACTGGGGCGGCCTGGCGGCCCCTCGTCTACCAAGGGTTGGGGGGCCTGGCTCAGGCCCTCAATATGGCTGAGGTCCTCCAGGAGGCTGGCCATGGAGGCTGAGAGTGCGGCGTCCGAGCTGGCCAGCAGGTTATCAGCTATGCCAGGGGCTGTAGGTGGGCTGGGCACAGGCGGCAGGGTAGCTGCTGGTGCCATGGATGCCTGGATTCGCCGCAGTGTGTTCACTACCAGCACCAGGTGCCGCAGGTCTGGCTCACTCTGCCGCAGGCTGTGGTGGAGCTTGAGCACTGAAAGGTCAAAGAGGGAACTGGAGGCCACAGCCGGGGGTGCTTGTGCCACTGCTGGGTGGCCAGGTTCCAGCCACCAGGCGTCAACTGCCAGGGCTTCCTTCTCCTCCTCCTCCTCCTCCCGCTTGCGCTTCAGGCCCTTGCTCAGCATCATCTGTGGGGAGCGAGAAGTCATTCAGTTATGGAAAGCCAATGTGAAGTTCTGATGCCTGTGTGATCTTGGGCAAATCACTTAGCCTCTCTGAGCCTAGGCTTTCTTAGGGAAACTTTTGAGAGCTGAATGATAATTGTATCTATTTCATAAAGTTGTTTGAAGGAATAAATGAGATAATATACAAAAAGCACTTTACAACGGTGTCTGGTACATAGCAATTACTCCTATGAATAAGTATTATTCATAATAACTATGATTATTTATTTCTTCAATGAACCATGTGAAATGTCCAATATTTAACCTTTTTTTAACCTACAAAAGCAGCTGTTTCATATGGTTTAATCTAATATTTATTGACTGTCTAATTGTATCAGACAGTAAATAAATAAACAATTACAGGAAATGTACAGATGGTGCTAGGAAGATACTAAAAGGTTCTGGAGAGTCGTTAGGGAAGGCTCCTCTGAGGAGGTGACATTTGAACTGAGCCCTCAAGTACGAGAAGGAATCAGCCAGGGAGGAACTGGGGGGAGGCATTCTGGGAATAAAGAACGACGGCAAAGGCAAAGAGACCTAGAGGCTTGATGAGCTTGAACTGAAAAAAGACTCCATGGTCAGTGCACAGAGCGACACAGTATGGGGTGAGGGGGCAAGTTCGAGAGTAGGCAGAGGCGAGGAACTTGGATTTTAAGCAGGAAGGAATGCGGTGTTGTGGACTGGTTAGGTTTCCAGAATATCCCCTTGGCTGTTACGAGGAAGTGGGGAAGGTTGTTGGGAAGGTGGGGAGATCCATTCTGAGGCTACTGCACTCTGGGGTGGGCGATGGTGGAGACTTGGGAGTATAAAATAGTAGTGGACATGGAAGGAAGTTGGATTTAGGATTTATTTGCGAAGCAGAGTGGACAGAGCTTGCCGGAAAATCCTGATGGGCACGGGGGTCAATGAGAGAAGTTTGAGGACCCACTTTTCCCGGGGCGGGTGCCCCTGGCCCAATCTGCTTTTTGAAAGACAGACAGCCTGCAGGGCACAGTACCTAGACCCTTGCCCAGTAGGACATTTGGAGTGACCCTTCTCACTACTCAAAACTGGGTCTCCCCTCCTTCCTAGCCGACCTGGGAGTCCGGAACCACAGGAATTCAGCCCCCACCCCCGACTCCGCCCCCTGGTCCCGGCGCCCCCTAGCGGCGCCAGGCCGGCTTTCCCCCGGGGATTCCGGCTCCTCAAACCCAGGGACCCTTTACACTGCCCGGCGGGACGCGGCGTTCTTGCCTGCCGCTCGGGAAGTTGA